GAAAGCCTGCGTGCGCTAGTACCTCTTGCCACAAGTTCCCAGAATCCTTTGCAGTTTTACCCCTGAATGACGTCACATTTATCCTGGTGGGCCGGTCTCTAGTCAAAATGCCCGGGCCGATTTTTTGTCCCAGTCCAGCCTTGTCTGCTGACTGTGACGATATTCTGATCCCACACCTGTGTCACCTCCAAAAACATGAACAATAGTCTCAGATCTGGCCTGCTTCAGACCTTCAGCACCTGAAGGTTTTCCCTTTCAAGTCCTAATAAAGACATTATTATTTAGGGACAATAAGGTAATTTTATCACCGATGAATTAGTGATGGACAGCTAGCTTTGTTGACTGGGTAATAATTTGAAGAATGTAATATTTAGAAAACCAAATATTTGATGAAATCTGGATAATAATAAAGATTCTATGTTGTTTGGTTTTGGTCCACGTTTTGCCAAAGGGTGACTGAGAAGCATTGAAGAATAGAAACTGACCGATATGTCTGTTGGGCAGCCTCTTCAGCAGGCAGGGCTCCTCGTTTCCTGACGGAGCTCTGATCGTCGCGGTCAGGCTGCTCAGGTCCGTCTCCATAATTTTTAAGGAAACATCTGTTGCTGTGCCAACGTTAAGCTGGGATGTTCTCATAGAGTCGTCACCTGGAGATCAAATGTGAGACGACAAAGTAATAGTGAAAACCAGCTTAGTTCAATCAGCCAAACTTTACTCATACTGCAGCTTTTAATGCAGGTTAGAGCACCCACAGACAAGCCAGCACCGACACAAATGAAACAACGTGCAATGACATAAACAAACTAAAACAAACTAAACTGGCATAAATTTGAAAACAGAAATTAAGCTAATGATTGGGCATGTGATGGATGTACCGTGGGTAACAGGTGCTGCTTACTGAACAACTATCATGACTAATTTTAAAAAAACTACACTGAAAGGTGGAGCATGATGAGAAGGAGCTTGGGAACTTTAAAAGGTGAGGGGGTGTCTCGGCAGGGGAATGTGCTCTCCAAATGCAGACTAAATCAACATTCACAGCTCGATGCCAGAGTTTGGACCACCTAAGCAGAAAATCTTTTAATCTTTTGATTATGATGATGATGAGCTTTTATGTCTGACATAAAACAAAAACCATATACAAACATACACATATACACTGATACCTGCATACACACACATATGCACACAAAAAAATACAATAAATAAAGAAAATCTCAGTGACATGAAATAAACCACTTAATCATCAAGTCCAAAATGGAGCAGGAAGAAGTATGTACATGCTGATTAATCCCTACCCCATGCTCAGCACTCTACTGATTCATGATATTCATCATTACCCCCACTTTGCCTCAGCACTTGTATACACGTACCACACAAAAAAGAAGAAAGACAGGAATAATCTATGTGTAAATATAGATATAATTCATATATAGATACTTTTTCTTTTCTTTGATGGCCAAGACTTGGAGGAACCATTAAAAACCTAGACTGTCACTGTCCTGGGTCTGTGACCCAGTGTTTTGTTTCTGTATTACTATTGAACTTTGATTTTGTCATTGTTTATCTTTTCTAGTCTTTTGGTTTCTGTGTTCCATGGTTGCTGTCTCACCTAGTTAAGTCCGTGTCTGTTATGTTTCTTGTTTTACTTTGAAAGTCTGCATCCTATGTCAATGTATTGAGTTTTGCTTCCCCTTGGTCATGTCTGATTACTCCCAGCTGTGTTCTCCTGTGTCTCATTCCCTCGTTATCCGTCTGTCTATTTAAGCCTTGTGTTTCCCTCTGTTAGTTACTGGTTCGTCTGCGTGTCTGTATTTCTCCAGGTGTCTCTCCATGTTTTCAGGTTTGTAGTCACAGGTTTTTATTTCTTGTATTATTATTTCGTAGCTCTTCCCAGTTTAGGTTTTGTTAGCGTAGTTCCCTGCGATACCCTGCTTTGGTTTGCATTTTCCCCTTTCATTATTAATAAACTTTCTCACAGCTACGCCATTGTCAGTGCTTGCGTTTGGGTCCACATCCTGCATCTCCTGATGATCTGCCCCCCAGATCGTGACATAGACAGGTTAACAATGAGCCAGTGAAGGTCAGGAGGTTAAATAATGTAATCAGGAAATATTATAATGACAAGGAAGGATAATTACAAGAAGTTAGACAACCAAAAGAAGAACACATGCCACGTCATGGTTTGACAAAACAAAGAAACTTTCCAGAACACTTTAAAGCTGTTAGAGTTAAAGTGAAACCTTTTACAGGAGTAAATGACTGAATAACTGAAGATAAAAATGCTGGATAATTTATTTTCTGAATTTAGCTGAAGAAAAATCAGATCATTTATATCTGCTTTGATTGGAAAGGGTTTTGTATATTTGGTGTCCCACAGGAAGATAGAGCAGAGTGTTGTCTGCGTACAGAGATAGAAATCAACTAAAGGCAATCCACATGTGACCAAGTACACAGTTAATATCTATCTTTTTCTGCACGTGCTTCATAATTAATGTATTTGAAGGTACTGAAAGGTATTGATTGTGAAGATATTCAAGCTAAGCATGTTAGTTTTCTTAAAATAAGATTTTCTACATTTTTGGAGGTAGTTCTGAAAAATTACACATTAAATTCAAATTACATCTTTTGTTAAAATCATAAAAATGTACAACGTCATAGGTGCTGCAGCTGCTTTTTGATGAACAATCATTTAAAAAGTGTTGCTTAAAACTGAGCTGTCTGGATAAAAGCCCGACTTTCCCGAGGAGAGAGAATTTTTTACCAGTAATCTTGGCGGTGAAGGGGCTGCCAGGGATGTGTTTGTCATCAAACTTGACGATGATGTTGTAGTCTCCAGGTGCGGTGGGCAGGTAGGACACTGTGCATGTCCCGTCCTTGTTGTCTTTACAGCTGATCTCTGCTTTGGATGGACCTTCAACTGCCAGAGACAAACCTCCTGTAGAAAGAGTGGGAACACTTACTGCCTTTCTTATCTTCAGTTTCACATGGTGTCTTCTTCTGATTAAATACACATTTCATATTTCAGATAAAAGATACAGTCATAAACACCGTCTACGTGCCTGAGAAGAACTGGGCTCAGGCTTTAAACAGTTCTTATATCTACTAGTGTACATATGAGGGATACCTTCTCCAGCATCTTCTGTAACTATAGTGAAAGTGGCTGGTCGGTTCATGGTGCCGTGGCTCAGGCCGGGACCGTATGCTGTCACATGACCACTGTTAATAGCATCAACATAGAACTGGAGTGGACTTCCTGTAACAGAGAGAGCACACAGAGAACCTGTGTGTTAATGTGATGTTTAATGATTTTCACATTAAAGGTTGAAAGTCAGTCTGTCTGCTGATAACACTGAAGACGAAAGAATGTGAGCCTCAGAAACAGAACACATATTCACTGAGGAGGGATCACCTGGGATGTGGTTGCCATCGTATTTGATGTCCATCTCATGGAGGCCTCGTTCAGTTGGCGAGTACTTCACAGTAACTGTCCCGTCCTTGTTGTCGGTGATGTGAGGTCGGGCCGTTCGGCCAGAAGGCATGCGGACTTCACCTGGAGGATAAAACACACACAAGTTCAGTTATTCTGACTAATTTCATGTTTAGACTGAAACCATTCTAATCACAATAACCAAAAGGTTAAATTTCATTAGAGTTTTTAAATTAGATTAAAATACTATGCAAGTTATCAGCCTCTAGTAATGCTTCAAGTGCATCCTTTGATGCAAAGTCACCTGGTTAGGAATGATATGTCAAAGCTAAGAAACAGCATTTACTGGGGTGCCAACTGAGCACGAGCAGGCGACCATGTGCGGCATGGCCACACAGAAGAGAGCAGATTCAAGTCTGACCCGCTTTCCTGTCTGTCTACACCAGGGGTCGGCAACCTGCGGCTCTGCGTGGTTTGGGAAAATATATATATATATTTTAAATATTTTGCTGAAGTGCATTTTATTTATGTTTATTTATGTTCTTTTTTAACTTTTAGTCCTAAATTGGAAGAGTATTGTGATATTGAAATATAAAATTATATTCTATTTTTCATGGCTGAAAATAAGCGTCACACTCGCTGAAGCCGGCATACCCGCCGAAACACCTTGCATTTATCGAGACTTTCAACCCCAGGTAGGCAAATTATGGATCTTTGGATCCACATTATGTCAACAGCTGTTCTCCACCGCGAATTATGCTAAAAACAAACACCGCTCACGCCTCACAGATGATAGCTTACAGTCCTGCCTAAAGATGAAAGTGACTTCTTACTAGTGATGTGCGGATCGATCCTGAAATATCGATTCCTCCGATACCAATCATTTATGTTCTAGAATCGATTCTCACATTAAAATATCGATATTTTAGTAATTTAGAGTAAATTTGTAGTTTATCATTAACAGGAACACAG